GAACCCAAGCTCTTTCCAGCTGTGCTCCCAGACTGGATGCCAGGTCCTTCAGACCTCTCCTATATTTTCCTGTAAACTCTCCGCAGTCAGCCAGCTCACTCTCTGGCTACATCCCAGACCAAAGTAAAGGTGCCTTGCAGAGGTACAGAAAAGTTGGCTGAAGCTAGGATCAAGCTATAGGACTGGAAATTAGGAAACAGATGCTTTATGATGGGAGCTGGCAGATGTCCCAAGCAAAAGACATTGGACAACTTTGCTTATCCCACCGCTGGCTCCCCCATCACTTCTGAAATCAAGACAGTCTTGAGACCAGAATTTGAGGGGTTGTTTCCAGATAAAGCTCTGATTTTGGCTGGGCTCTGCGTGCAAATAACCAGTGATATCATAAAGGTCACCTTTATGAGAAGTTCACTGCTATAAAATGGATAACAACTTCAACAAAAAGCATCCCTCAAAGAAGGCAAACAGAAAATAGTAAGAATATTCAGAAAACTTTACTCTTAAAAAAGAAACTTAATGTTTTTAAAGCCTAAGAGCCCATGTTTACTGTAGATTTAGGGACTATGCAACATCAACTAAGTAACAAGTAATCTTTTCTGAAGCAAAAGTATGGCCTGGTCATAGAGCAGCACCCTGCCACATGAGGAATAGAAGATGGTTCTTCCCCCTACTGCTTAGAAAGTACATTTTTCTAGAAAACGTCTCACAGTTCTGGGCAGAAAATTTAAAAATCAGTGCTCACGATACCATTTTCAGAATCTAGTTCCTGGTTTGAAAATGAACATAAAAGCTTCTCACACCAACTTTCAGTTATTTATTACTTTCTGGTCCTAGTTTAAAGAAGAAAACTGGACAAGGATGAGCAGGTTGGCCATCTTCTGCCTTCACAGACCCATATACAGGAGATGAGCAAGAATGACAGAGCTTTGGGGAGGAAAGAACCGGCTCATTGACCCAGCTTCACAAAATCCTTTAGGAGCTCAAGTCACCCTGATAACACCATTTGTATATAATCCCCCTCTATAGACACCCAGAGAATCCCCTCTGGTGCATCAGGGCTGCTTTCAAATCTGTCTCTTTTCCCAACACACACATACATGCCCCAAGTTCAAACTTGTTTTTGAAGCAATAAAGAGATGCAGAAAAAATTGTACATTTAAATGACACGGCGAGGTGGCCAAGTGTGAAGCGAACCCATCTCTCACATCTTTCATTTAAAAGGATGAGACAGGACAACAGAAAGCCTGCTGCAATCCCTGTGAAGAGGTCAACGTCGAAACTGGGCCATGTAATTTGCCGTTTGAGAAAACAACAACACGCAAATAGGAAGACTCTTTGGACCTCTCCTCATTAGGCAGGGAAACCATTTTGCAGAGGCAGTCTCCCCCTGGGAAAGAGGAGAGGGCAGTGAGAATGGTAAGTGAACCGACAGGAGATTGCCACCACGACGCGTGACCCTGTGGCAAGCACATCCCTCCGCTCCATGAAACACTCGGAGAGCACCACTGCCCACAGGGTGTTGTGGGAGAAAGCCAAATACAACAAGGCAGGTAAAAATGAAACCTAACAGCCCACGCAGAAAAAAAGGTGAGCGAAGGATTTTCCCCTGCGATGAGACGCTGAGGAACACTTGGGTCCGGTCAACCTTTCAGCCAATTTATTCAATCAGCTTCAGCTATCGAGGTGGCAATTGCGTCGTTTTTGTTTCAGGACTGAACTGCTGCAGGTCAATCCACCCCAAGCAAACCTGCTTATTTGCTTCATAGATGTTCAACACTTAAAGGTTAGTCAGCTGTACAAATGCTGGAAATAGCACGTGGGGCACTTGGGGTGAGAATCAAACCACCCGGGACAAACAAGGCTACTGAGCATCAGCCTGTTGGGCTCCAGCAGAGAGAGCTACCAACTCCCTCTGCACCCCAGGAAAAAAAAAAAAAAAAAAAGGAAAACCAGAAAAGAGAGGAGAGCTTGCCAATACACAGATATGAGTGCATACAGTAATACTGCCTAATAGCATCCTTTTCCCTTTGCAATGCCACCCTCCATGAGAAGAAGAAAGCTGTGCGCTTGGAGACAGCTCCCACAGAAGACAATGCTGTTCTCAGCTCCCATGAAAAATGAGGGATCTGTATGTGCTGCCCATGTCTTGGGAGTCTGCCCAAATGTGCAATGATTCCCTTCTAGCAGCAGTGAAAAAATATATACTGTGTAATCAACAGATAGCTAAATCATCCAGTCCAACAGCTCTTGCACCAAAATGATTTAAAAGACAATATTCAGTTGCTGAAACCCTTCCTGCATCTTATCTGTAATGACCATGAGGCAACAGCAGCTAGACTGGAGATCTTGTACTGCTCCTTCTTTTGTTGCTGTCTGAAAAGTAGCTTTTTCTTCAAAAAGCAAGGGAGGTCAGAGAACACACATGAAGAGCGTACAGTATCCACTACCCCCCACATAAACCCTTTTGCCAGCCTGACGTGGGGTTGCACCAGGTATTAATGCCATTGACAGGGGTACTAACCATTTGGGAAGCCAGAAAGAATCCCATGACCAATGTGACAAGACTCATTTAGGATACTGATGTACCAAATCTGCACTAAGATAGCATAAAACGGTCAAATTAGAGTATAACCAGATTTCTTCCATATAAGCAATACAGATTTTTAAAAGCTGTGGAAGTTATATTGATTTTATCCATCCTTAAAATAAGTAATTTTCCCTATTTTTGTAGAAGAAAAGTTAAATATTACAATACAGGTCAGCTATAGATCAGAAAAAAACCAACCAAACAAACAAAAAACCAACAGGAAAACCATTTCAAATAGAAAACTTTTATTTGCCTAAACCTACAGAGATGAAATTTAGATCTGTCTCAGTTCAGCTCCTCAAATGGAAAGTATATTGTCTTTTTCTCCTGCAACAACCAGTCAGAGTCAGCACAGTTGCCAAAAAAGAGACAAGTTTGTGTATTTGTTAGAGCTCTCTCCATTTCCCCTACCCCCCTTATTCCCATAACTTTATCTCGTCCAGCAACATTGTTTTCTACCCCATCATACTCTCTGGCTATTCTTCCATAACCTCTTGTGCCTTCCCTAGACACCTATATTCCCCATGCACACAATTTTTCTTTCTAGCCTTTATGTTCTGCCACAAACTGCTAGTACTGCTTCCACAGAGCAGAGTTTCCTAACTAAAGATGGTTATTGATGTACAGTACTAGTGTTTTAGTGCAGTAGTAGAATCAATAAACCAGGAAATACTGCTTTGTCAGATTTTTCCAGCGCATGCTGGGAAATATTTTTACTGCCTTTGGATGGTCACAGAGTTTTTCTTTAGAGATCACATTGGAGCATGAACTGTGTCTTCCCTAGGAAGAACTGAAGCTCTCCTACCCTCTAGTGACTGGAACAGAATAGAGCACAGGGTTGCAGCTTTTTTTTTTTTTCAATTCTCCTTTTAAACAATATTTTCACTTCTCCTAACTCAGTACGATGCTTCAGCATCTCTTAATTTTATTTTAAAAGATGCTAAGGTATAAGACAGTCTTGAGAACTGAATGACTTGCCAGTACAGTTTACAGTTAAAGGTACAAAAACCTGTATGTAAAAAAATTATTCAAGATGCAATGAGATATAGGGTACAACAACAACAAAATAAAATAAATTTAAAAAATCCAGTGCCAGCAACCAAGACAGAAGTTTGGCTATTCTGGATAAAAAGAACCAGAGTTTAAAAACCTGCCTTCCTTTCCCAAGACCCAAAGCCAAACTGTGTCAAGAGACAGCTGTGTGTGCACGCGGGAGAAAAAGGGGGATCAAGCTACACTGATTGAGTGAGGGCACAGTAATTTCCAGAGCTTTAGTTAAAAACTAAAGTGCTGAGCTCTTCAATTATTCCATCATTTTCTGTCATACAGCATTCAGGGATGCCTGGTGGCTCTCTGCACCGTGGGAAGGGCTGTGATATCCCTGAAACTGGGGCTGCCGAGCTGATATCCACCTCCCAGAGCTGTACTCTGGGCTTCTTCTGTGGACAAAAATATACTTGCTGGTACAATACCTGAGAGGGTTGGCTCCTCAAACATTGCACACCACAGTTGCAACGAATAGAGCAAGAGGAGGTTAATTATTCAACTTATTTAAGCATAAACCAATAGTTATATAGGGAGAATATCAAGATGCATATGTGTTGTCATACGAGCCAAATTCCGGTTTTCAGAACATTAGACTGAATAGTTCTCAAGCTGGGTACTGGGGTCTGCAGTTTCTGTATCGTTGTTATTTACTCAATAGCAAATTAAAGCTCTGCAGAATAAATAAAAAGCCACAGTGTTTCCTGAACAAGTTAAAATCTAATGCAAGAATGTGACTGTACAGGAATATAAAAGTAATGGAGGCCTGCAGGGACACTACAGAAGACCAATGAAAGCAAGTTATGCAGATATGTAGCAACACACAGATCTTGGAAATTCTGTTATGTTGTTGGTAATGAAAACTGCCAGCTCTGGTCTCCATCCCAAGAACAAAAGGAATTTCAAAACCCACAGGAACAACCAGAAGAAATACTGCCTCACAAATTCCTCCTGTGGTGAGAGTCAACCCCCTACAATTAGACCAGGATCCAGAAGACCCACGTTCAACTCCAGTACCGATCACCAGCCACCTCAACAACTCAAGCCCTTCCCAGCTCCATTTTTGATTGAATTTACACCCATTTCCTTAGCACAGACAGTTTCTTTCTTTCTACAGCTCTTTGCTGAATGGGGTCTTACTGTCACTTGCCACTAGACGCTGTAATAGGACCTACAATAAGAAAACAACAGAAATTTCTCATCACATTGAAAACAAATCAAAAAAGCGAAGGGAATCACTGCCACCGTGTTTAGGTTGCATCTAGATTTCAGAGTTTTCATATTTTTACACTTTCTGTTTCAGAGAGCAAAAAGATTTTGAGAGGGGACTTTTTTTTTTTTTTAACAAAGAAAAAAATAAGGATTACCTTGGATGAAGTTCGCTTCTTCCGACTTGACCACCTCTATTCATGAGTCCCCACCATCACACCAAAGAGAACCCAGTGAGAGGAAAAAGAGGAATAAAATGAAGAAAGTTTAGTGGGAAAAAAATAATCAAACAGCAGCTTTGTCAACTGTATTAGAAAAGCTCATTACTAAGTAGGGGGCTGAATCTACTACTGCATTCATTTACCTCCCTCCCTCATGGAACATAACAATCAAACTCAAAATACCTGCATTGCACCAAAAAAAGTGGAAATAAAAAAAAGTCAAGAATAAAAAGTGGAGGGACCCAGAACCATTAGTAAGAAACATGGCTTATACTTTTGGTGCCATCTGGTTCTACAGTAAGCTAATTTAAAAATGAAAAAAAAAAAAATCATCTTGCTGTTAAGTGCTAATGTGGACAGAGTCATTTCACTATTCTGATTCCCCTGGAAATGGCTGAGCAATTTGCATTTGAAATATGAGGGCTTAAAACATCATCTTTTAAAAAAAAAAAAAAAAAAATTACAGTGTGCATCAACTCTTCTATCATCTGCACTCTGAATGTTAACTAAGCACCCAAGAGTACCAAAAACTGCTACTTTAAACCAATGTATTTTCTTTCTTACTGGCTAGGTCCACTTTAGCTCATGCTTCCCTAAAAATCCCAGAAGAATTCCTGAGGTTCTTTTGGCTAAATTGCTTTTTAGCTAAAGTACCTTCACATCTTTGCTTCGCCCCTTCCTGCAACCCAGGGACACACGTGCCAACAAGTTAGTGAGGGAAGTCGGAAATCAGCATGCTCTAGAACAGCAACCAGAGCAGCTGTGGTTCACACATTCACTCCAGCACAGCAACAGGACAGAACCATCCAGCTACAGACATCCACCCAACTTTTACCCAGTTAAATACAGGGCTTTTTTTAAAGTTATGATCTGTCTTGATTTCAATATTGAGTCTTGGAGAATGAAAATAAAAGCAGTATTTCCCAGTAAATCAGATTATACCAGCTTTTTTTTCTCCTCCTCCTCTTCCACGTATTCCAGCTATAGATTTCATTTCTTAAGCCACTTACATTTCTCTTGAAGTCTCCTTGCTTGACTGCTAAACTCAAGTTTAATACAATCACTCCCATGTCATCTTCTAAACTGTTGGGATCTTCCAGTTTTAAAACCTGTTCAGTAGTTCTATGAGAGGGGGGGTGGGGGAAAGAGAGAGAGATGTGCATTTATTGACTCCAGTTAACTCAAGTTCATTATTAAAGGTCATGCTGAGCTGTGCAAATTTCAGCTTCTTGTTTGAAATTCCCAATATTGAGTTTAAATGTTAAAACGGGAAATCTGGAGGGTTCCTTCTTAGTTCTGACAAAATACATCATTCTTAACAACACAGTTTAGTGTTTATATAGTATTTCTTAATACTCAGAACTCTCCATACACTGATAGACACTGAATTAAGCTACTACCTCCACTTCACAGGGAAGAAGAGTGACAGAGACACTCATCCAAGTGAATCTGCTATCATTAATGGCTGGGATTTGACTCACCAGTCCTGTATTCTGCCTTACTTCTGCAGGTGTTTAATCTCCCTCCGTGACTCAGTTCCCCCTCTGAAAATGGGAATGCTGGTGTTTACCCGGTAGCACTATCTCATGGATAAATTCATTAAAGTTCCTAGAAATTTGGATATAAACACCATGGGAACTAAAATATACCCACAGAGGGAAAACTTTTTTTTTTTTAAAGAAAAAAAAAAAAAAGTGGCACAACGAGGGAGTGTATAAGAAAGAACTAAAACTTGAATTCCTGGCTTCCAGCTCCACATTGAGACCAAGCAGCAGCAGACAAAAGGCGCAGGGTTTGCCTCCTAAATCAGGGCCAGATGCAGCAGCCGCAGGGACAGACGGCTGCGGGGGGCAGCTGGAAACGGGGCGCTCACAGCCAGCCAGGCAAACAGCTCCCCAGACAAATTATATACAGAATAAGGCACCTCACGCTACACGGGGTAAAAAAGGGTCTCAACCTTTCCCCCTCTTTCTTCTTCCATCTCCATAAATGATTGTGGTGGAGCTCTCCCTAAGCAATGCTGTGTATAGAAACTCTTATTTCTACTCCTAAACCTTGAAAAAGAAAAGACACCTTCTGCTGAACTTTGAACCAGGCTCAACCAGCTTGGATTTGAATCTGGTACATAACGCCAGATAAAAACATGTGTATGGGATTTATCCAAGAGATTTCTTGTTTTTTAAATGTGCTCCCCACCCTTCTATCAAAATAATTTTTTATGAATAGACAAATTTCAAGCTAGAGCAAAAGCATTTCATTATTTTCCTACGTTTCTCAATTAAGCTGCATTAAGAACCTTTAATTAAACAAACGTATTACCTATTGAGTTCAAGTTCAGCGAGTGCTACAAAAGCCGAACCCATGAAGTCTGAAGAGGTTAAATCTCGATCGTACACCTGGTAGCAAAATAAAATAAATATTTATAATTTTTCACATCATAAGCCAGTTTTATCCTGGCTAATAAAAGACCAGATATTTTAAACCCTTTCAGTTCAATTTCATATTTGAAAGATCAAAGCTTAGATTATAATTCAGGGATAATTTTCCATCTCCCTGCTTTAATTTCTATTTTTAACTAAATATTTAAACAGCATTTTGAAAGTATCTTCTTATTATTATGTAAACAGAGATGTGTGTGCTGCTATGGATTGTGCCTGTTCCTTTATGCTTTGTGCAGCGGCATAATGAAAAGCTGCACAAAAATGCAGGTACTTCTGGCTAGAGATGTTTTAGCAATTATTGCTCACAACTGGTAGCTCACAGTTCTGTTAACTGTAACTTTACTCATAATGAGCAAAGGCTTTGCTACTTGTCACGGCTGCATCCCAGGTAATAATTCTATTCAACCCAGCCAAATTATACTCTTAAAACGTGCTTCTGAAACCGCGAGTGGTTTCACTGAGTTTGTACAAGCACAGAAAGAGCGAGCAGAATTCAGCTCCACAGCTTTAAACATATCCAGTCAAGGAGTTTGATTTCAACTTGGGTTTTTGCAGACGGAAAGCAAAACATGCAAGTAAAATCTGGAAAAGACATATATGCATTTTAATTTGAAATTGCTGAAACTCTTTAACCGGATCGTGTTTTATGTTATGCTGCTACAGTGAATAAAAATCAATACGTTTTTAAAGAAGAAAATAATTGCTTAAAAAAATATTTGCCCATCTTTCAAAAATCTAGAACCAAAACTTACCTTGATCCAGAGTTTTTGATCGAGGGTCTGTACAGGCAGCACAACAGTCTCATCCCAAACTGGGTTGAGGTTCTTGTAAACTACCTTGCTTTTGTACAGAGTTTTCCCATTCAGTTTAAATTTCACATATGGGTCACTTGTACCTGTGATAATTAATAAAAAAAAAATAGATTAGCACTGCCTCCACGTAACTCCACAATCTTAGATTATATATTCATAAACCAGTACATAACAATAATAAATGGCAATTACTTATTTTACATATACATGCATATACTAAATTACTTATACAAAAATTTATAGTTCTACAGGAAATCTATTGAGCTGAACCAGAAAGTTGTTTGAAACAAAAATTCTTTTGTTGAACAAAAATTCTTCATAGTTTGCTTGATCTCCACTGTGATATTCTTAAAGAATGTTAATTAATAATTAGTAAGTTAGTTAACATTTTAATTTGTGAAATTAGCAAACAGAAGCCGGGATGAAGGACTATTTACAGGACAACTAACAACACAGAGTGGAAGAGAGAAAATGTGATCCTGTGTCTATAAATACATAAAAAGACCAAAACTCAAAAGCATCATAACTTGGATAGGAGCTCCCCGGAAACCAGTTACAAGAGCTAAAATACCCGTCAGGATTTCATCACTGGTGTCACTTGTCAATTTATTTAAAACCAAATTTGAAGCTTCAGTGACAAAATACTGACATTATTCACCAGCTCCAGACAAAAAACACAGGCAGAATAGAATCCATAAAGGCAAACAAACAATATTCAGGTAACACATTTTTTAATCCAAGTGGCATAATTTGCAATGGCACTAATGTCCCATATTTTTATGGAGCAGATGTCCATGGACAGAGCATGAGGCTCCTGCCACTCGGCAGCAATAGAAAGACTTGCAGCTGTCGAAGGAAAAGAGAAGAGAGAATCAACTTTTTATTATTGTTATTAAACCAGTGGCATCTGCACTGACACCAAGCACCGTGCAGGACACCGAGCAAAAGGGAGAGCAAGGTACACAAAGGATTAACTAGCTGGTTGATTTAATAACACATACAGACCTTGGAAAAAAAAAAAATAAATAAATAAATTTGCAAGCTGCAAATAAAGGAAAGAATAAAACTGATGTGTAGCAGCATATACAATTAACTGATCCCAGGTGCCATTTGTCTGTCATATTCAATATTGTGTGTATTACAACTTATATTTGAAATTCAACTTCCCTCCTAATAGTTTAATTTCATTAGAAGAATAACAGCTAATGCGATGGTCCTGGCTGTCCCCCAGCCTGCAGTGTGAGCTGCTGCCAGGGAAGACAAATTCCTACATCAGGCTTTAATATTCACAAATAATCTAAACCTTTTCCCCCTGGTTCCCACCGAGCTACTGTCTGACAAATGTGTGGCAGTTAGGGATAAACCATCTTAAGACCAATGCTCAGTCTTGTCAGTAATTGGGTAAAACAGAGAGAATATGAAAAATTCCTATTTAAAACTTCCAAAGCTCTGCTCAGTGTTATGTGAAGACACTTAAGATGTGAGAAAAATAGTTGTGTGTTAGCATAAATTTGGAATTACATAGTACTGTGTCTCTGGGACATATAGCATTATTTTTAAGAATAACATTTTAAGAATTCTATTTTAATTTCAAAAGGGAAGAGTCAGAGTCCTGGCCAACATAAGGGGTGTTTCATTCACAGAAGGAGAATATCAGTTGGTTTTCAAATACTACCTGCAGTTGATCTTTTTTCTAAATAGCAATTGCCAAAATCAACTCCTTTTTGTGAAAAATGCGGCAAACTTAAAAAAAACCCCATTTATTTTCCTTATCCTCTAAGAGGAATAAAAATGAGGGCCTGACCCAAAGCCAGGGAAGTCAGAGGGCAGCTTCTCGTTGTTTTCTATGTGTTAGGACTAGACCTTTCCCTAGAACACTTCTCAAAACTAAGATTATACTCTTATATAAAATATTCAGCTTAAAACCAGCACGTTTTCCACAATGAGTGGGAACATGCAGATAAAATGCAGTCCCACAATGTGGACAGTAGCCCACAAGTGCTGCAGAATTTAAAAACTAACAGCATTGAGCTCTTTGGTGTTAGTGTCTTCCAGCTCCTTTAAAAAGAAAAAAGGAAAAAAAAAAATAATAAAAAAAACCCCTGGCTTTTATTTACAGGATAAGTAGGAGCAAGCTGCATTATTAAAAATAACAGTAATAATAATGTCCACAATCTATTCTGTGCATGAAATAGCAACTGGATGAGACAAGGAAAGCAAATGATGAAATGAAAGCATGAAGAGGGCGATGGAGGCAGGTGGTCTATGGCCATAACTCATCTGCTTTTGGCACAGAGAAAATCTGTGAACGAGGGCAAAACAAAACAAAACAAAAAAAACAAAAAACAAAACACACCAAAAAACCCACAAACAAACAAAAAAGAGGAGATAGAGAAAGCAAACAGCCAGCAAGTTGTCTACAAGTATAAAAGTCCAAACCCTTTCTCTAAGGATGGGAAGCAAGAAGACTATAGCTAAGCAAACTATCCTAATTGCATTATTGTTCTGATAACTTTCCAGGTTGTTATTAAGGAAAGGAAAATAAAAGAGGGGGAAGGGCTGCCCAGCACTGTTCACGTGAGCCAGGCTTTAGCAATCACTCTCATATATATATATATATATATAAAATTAATGTCTTCCTTTATATTTATATAAATATAAAAACATATATATCTATGTAAAAGGAATATATACATATATAAAATACACACATTTATTTAAAAAAATGTATAAAAACCAGTGAGAGGAAAAAAATCTATTTAAAAAAAAGAGGGCCTTTAATTAAATAAGATTGCCACTCTGGGATCAGGCTTTCATGCTTGTCAGCTTACTCTCAAAATAAACATCTCAAACCGGGGCCTCAGTGGTGTCACTTACTCCGGCAAGGCACACCGGGTAATCCCTCGCTATCTTGACAGCTACATAATGTTCAAACCCTTTCACGGGTGAACGGCGACACTTGCGCGAAAGAAAATATTAATGCTGGGAATTAATAGAAAAAGGGATGATGGTTTACAAAAGCCAAACAAGGAAAAGGTGTCAAGTTAGTACCAGCGTTAATTGTTGGGGAAGATAATTGCGGAAGGGCGCGGGTGTCGGCGGCGCTCGCCTGTCTGGCTGTCGGAGGGGTAACATCTCAACTAGGCAGGCAGGGGAAAGGGGTCAGCAGCTCCTGGATCATACAAATGATGGGCTGACACCTCCGCGCCAGCAAATAGATGGACTTTCACCTCCGCGGTGGGAGCTGGCATGCACCGGGGCTCAGTGGTGTTTGATCAGGTGGACCTGCGTGGCCAAGAGAGGAACGATGCGGGTAGACATGGCACTATTGCCCATTTTGGGGATTTCAAGGCTTCCCCCCAAGTTATTTGTGTTGTATTGACAAAGTTTCTGTGCCTCCCTGGTCAATGTGCCCATTTCTGGTTTTCTTTAAGATGACCCAGGCTGCATCCAAGTGACCTTTTTAACCAAAGGAGGGTGGATTTGGATGAGATATGAGTAAGAAATTCTTTCCTGTGAGGGTGGTCAGACACTGGCCCAGGTTGCCCAGAGAAGCTGTGGCTGCTCCTCCATGGATGTGTTCAAGGCCAGGTTGGATAAGCCTTTGAGCAACCTGGTCTAGTGGAAGGTGTCCCTGCACATGGCAGGCGGGTTGGAACTGGATGACCTTTAAGGTCTCTTCCAACCCAGACCAGTCTGTGAGATGGGGAATGAGAAATAAGCCAGGTGGACAAGCCCCACTTGATGGGACAAACAGCACAGACTGCAAATTATTAACTGTATTTGAATTCAAGGCTTGAAGGTTTCTGGATTCAAGATCAGAATGGCATTTGCATCAATTAAAAGCTATTTATTAGAGACGATCCACAATCTAGCCAAAAGACAGTAACATTTTTAAAAGTGTCTAGTGATTTGAGAGATAAACCAGTCTACAAAAAGATATACTTTTTATAATTTTCCTTTAAAAATAACAGGCACTTGATAATTTTATGAAGACAGGCTATTAAAAAAAATAAAATGGGTCACTTTTTAGCAGCTATTTCCTAGTGAAGGCAACCAAGTCAACTTTTAAGCTCTTCTGCAATGCAAGGTCTGAACCTGTTCATCTCAGTCACATCAGCCGTATCAACAGGGTAATGCAAGGAGACTGATTGTCCTTGAAATCATTTGAGAATTTAGCCTGAAATACTTCTGTGATGGGAAAGGCAAGGTGTGATGGTTTGAGGTTAATTTAAATGTTATGCAGTGACAAGAAAGTAAAATACACATAGTAAAATACACGGACAAAATATATAACACAAACCAAATTATCTGCTTCTCACCCTAAAAAAAAAATCCAGAAAGAGTAAAAATATTTATCTCTAAAAACAAATTCATTCCATCAGTTGGACCTGTTTTCTCACTAGAAAAAGAGCATGCATCTCAACAGTGATGCTCCCTTGAATTCATTCCTGTAATATCTATTTTACTTCTGTTTTCCTCCACTAACACGAAAAAGCAATGAGTGTGAGCAGACTAAATATCTCCTAAAATCTGAGCAAACTTCAGTGAGCAAAAGTTGCTGGGACACAGCAGCAGGAGAGGGTTTAGTAACCCAAGAAACTGTTAATAGTGATTTTAAATGGATACTGCTGCCCTCTAGCAGCTACTGAGAGATGGATCCCAACAACTGTGTGTAATACTACTACACACTTGCTTCATAATTAGAAAAAAAAAACAACAAACCAAACCAAAACCAGAAGACTTGATGTAGGTTTAAGCCACACACTATTTTATAGGAGCAAACTTACTGGAAATGTAGCATATGAAACAAATCTCTTTACATAAATAAATTTTAAAAATTACCACCAAGTTGCTTTAATCCCGAAAAAAAAAATAAAATTAAAGAACAGCATGAAATATAACCTAGACCATCTTAAGTTTTGGTTAAAAACCTAAGTTTTAATCTGAAGTAGGAAATTAAGGATTTATTTTATATGCATGTAAAGAATAAATTTCTTTATATCTTCCTAGAGATAGAATTTATGAAGTTATTTATAACAAGGAGTAAAAGACATTTCAAAATGGAACACACACTTTTCTT